ATGATGAGTATCATCTAATATGCTCTTTTATTCATCATGTTGCATCTTTTTCTATGATGAATGTTCTTTTATTGCTCTTCTTGGTTGAATTTATAAAAGGTTGCATCTTTTACTATAACGAATGCACTTTCATTGATCTTCTACATTAGTCATCATATTGCATCTCCATTATGTTGATTATATGATGTGATATATTGTTGTCTTGGTCTGCTTTTGCATCTTTAATATGTTGAATAAGCTTTATGGTATTTATATAGTTGTCATCATCAAAACAACACTTGTTACCTATAAAACAAGGTTCCACAAATACTTCTTTAACAACTCTAGTGAGGGAAATATACTCAACTCTAACGATTGATAAGGCTTCAACCTTCAGAAGTGTTTCTTTCTAACTGATTCTTGTACCAGACATAGTGAAAACATATCCAGAAAGAGATTTTATGGTATCCATACATCCTGCATAATCAGAGTCAACAAATCCTTTGAATTAGGATTTGCCATATTCTCTGGCTCCACCATAAACCAGAACCCTACTCAAGGATCCTTTTATGTATCTTAGAATCCACTCTAGAGCTTGCTAGTGTGCCTTCCCGGGATTGGACATATACTTGCTTACAAGGCTCACTCCGTAGGGTATGATCGACCTCATACATACCATATCATACATCAAAGAACCTACTATACTAGCATATGGAATGATATTCATATAAGATCTTTCAGCTTTAGTACTCGGACTTTGAGTTGTACTGAGCTTGAATTGAGGATATGTTGGTGTTAAGACATGCTTTGAATTTGACATACCAAATTTGTCGAGAATCTTCCTTAGTTATGTCACTTGAGATAAGCATAATCTCGATTTATTTCTATCTCTCCAAATGTCAATCCCAATAGTTCCGGTGGCAGCTCCCACATCCTTCATTTTGAACTCCTTAATGAGTTCATCCTTCACCTTTATTACATCCTTAATATTGTTTCCAGCTATGAGAATATCATCCACATAAAGCGAAAAATAACAAGTGATCTTCCAGGTTGAAATCTAAAAGTAAACACAATGATCAAACTAGCTCCTAGTGAAACCTATGTGCCATGAACTTGTCGAATCTCATATTCCATTGTCGAGGATGTTGTTTCAGGCCATATAATGACCTATTCAAGTTGCACATCCAATCTTCCTTTTCTCTTTATGCATACCTTTTTGGTTGCCTCATAAGGATTGTTTCATCTAGATCACCATACAAGAAGGCGGTCTTCACATCCATCTATTCAAGTCCTAAGTTGAACATCACCCCCAAAGGCCAACAACATTCTAATGGATCTATGTTTTATAACATATGAGAATACATCATTGAAGTTTACTCATTCTTTTTGAGTGAACCCCCTAACAAACAACCTTTCCTTAAATCTCTTCGACATCACTCTTTTGATTCCTTCTTTAACCTTGAAAATACACTTACAACTGACTAGTCTGACTCTTGTGGGTTTCTCGATCAGCTCCCAAGTGTGGTTATCATGAACAGATTTCATCTCACCTTCAATGAATTTCATCCATTCATTCTTTTTTTACTCCTCACAACTTCCTTGTAATCTCTAGGTTCTTCATCAAGTACCTCACTAGTAGAGATTAAAGAAAATGATGTAAGATCTCCATAACCAAGTCTATGAGGCATCTTAATATCTCTTCTCGACATGTCTCTTGCCAGCACGTAGTCGTCAATAGTTTCCTCAGTTTCTTAAGCATCTTGTACTTCTTCCTCGACTTCATTTGGGTTATACAATTCAGCATCATTATGCTCCACCTTAACACAAATCTCTTCCTATTCCAGCTCTTCTTTAGAGATCTTTGCATTTTGACCAACATCATCAGTTTTCTTGAACGTCATTTAGCCTCATTGAAAACCACATCACCACTTGTGGTACACCTTTTGTGGCTTGATTCTAGGCACCACAACCTATAGACTTTTTTCCCCCTTAGGATACCTCGTGAACATGCATCTCAGAGCTTTATGTTCAACCTTGTCTTGCCTAATGTGAGCATATGTTACTCTAAGTTTGTCGAGATCTAGTGGATAACCCGAAAAAACTTCCTCAGGTTTCTTCATCCCTAAGGCAGTCGAGGGACACATATTTATCAAGTATGTTGCAGTCACAATAGCTTTAACCTAAAACACCTTCTTCAATCTAACATTAACCAACGTATATCTAACCCTTTCTAGGATTCTTTGATCAAACTTCTTAGCCAGGCCATTTTACTGAGGAGTACCTGCAATATTCTTGTGCCTTGCAATACCATACCTAGCACAATAACTTTTGAAAGCTTCATGCAAAAATCAAGGCCATTAACGATTCTCAACCTCTTGACCTTCATGCCAGTCTGATTTTCAACCAGAGTCTTCCAACTTTTGAAATTTTCAAAAGTTTCATCCTTAGTATTCTAAATGAATATCCATAAATTTATGTAATAATAATAAACTATGGATAGAAAATAACTTGCACTTGAGTGTGAAGAATTCCTTGCAGGCCCCCAAAGGTCAACATAAATGTAATCAAGGGATCCATGTGTTCTTTGTTTTCCTTGTTAAACTTCACTCTGCAGGCTTTATCAAACACACAAGGTTCACAAAACTCCAACTTTTTAACCTTGTCACCACCTAGAAGATTTTGTTTCCTCGGTTCAACAAAACCATTTGCACTAACATGGCCTAATCTCATGTGCAATAGTGTTGTCTTCGACACAGATTTCGTGGATGCTAAATCTGTTGAACCACTTACAACTGCAACCTCTAGGATATACAAGCATTGCCTCTTGACGCCTCTCAATACTTCCTTATATCCCTTTATGACTCTCAGGATACATTGCTCTTATATGAAAATATATCATTTCTTATTAAATTCACCAAGAGAAATCAAATTTCTCTTAAGATCAGGTACATACCTGACACTGGTTAACAAATTTATTGACTCGTCATGGATCTTGAATCTCACAAATCCAATACTTGCAATTTTATAAAATTTATAGTTTCCAAGCAACATTAATCCACCATCTTGATCACATAATTCATAAAACATGTCTTTGTTTGGAGTCATGTGCCAAGTACATCCTGAATCCATAATTCACTCCTTACTAGAGTCACTTCTTGAAACCACAAGAACATTAGATGATTCAAAATTATATTACACAATAGTTGTGTTACCATTATCCTTACCTCCATGATTATCCAGATGTTCAAGGCACACCTTTCTCGTGTGACCCTTCTTCTTACAATGGTAACACCTAACTGTAGAAGCATTACCACCATAATACTTATGTTGAATTTTACCTTTCTTCTTCTCAAACTTACCCCCCCTTCTTTGAGAATTATCCTTTTACATATAATCCTTCACCAATAGGAAATGACTCGTGCTCCTTTCGTTCATTCGGATCCTTAGAGTACAGGGATGATTGAACTTCTTCAAAGGTTAGGGAATCTCTTCCATACAAGAGAGTCTCTTTAAAATGAGCATGAGATTTAGATAACGAACACGTCAATAACAAAGCTTGATCTTCATCATTGGTACTAACCTTGATCTTCTCCATATTAAGCATCACCTTGTTGAACGTATCCAACTGCTCTTTCAAGACTCTATATTCAGTCATCTTAAATGAATACATAGCCTACTTCAGGTACAAACGATTTACCATGGATTTGGTCATGTATAACCCTTCGAGTTAGCTTCATTCACCTCTTGTTGTCTTGTCCTTCGAGACTAGCCGGAGAACCTTATCACCAAGGTTCAATATGATGGCACTATAGGGTTTCTCGATCATCGTCATCTTCTCCTTCTTCGTTAGTGCAACATTCATTCTCTTTGATTCTTTCAGCGCTTCTAACAAACACTACTAAACTAGAAGAGCTTGCGTCTTCAAGCGCCACAAATCAAAATTATTTACTCCGGTGAATTTCTCATATTCATACTTTATTGACGACATCTTTATCCACGCTTACCGCACCAGTTTGTTGTGACGATTTCCGCACCAAGAATGATGTAAATTTGAGAGAAAGAGGGAGTTTCTTGAACAAACATAAGAAAAAGGAAGAAGAAGAAAAAATAGGATTTGTTAAAATTGTTGTCGAACCAAGAAGCTATCCTTGTCGAAACTAGAATTTGACCTAAATACCACATCAACACCTCTTCATCATCACGTCAGAAACTCAAATCTATTGTTGTGCCTCGTAACCTACGATCTCTGATCAACTCGAATTCCTTATTGAAACAATTCTCAAGCTTATAAAAAAAAACTCATTTTCAATGCACTATAATAAAGAATTCTAATTTTTTTAAGAAAGTTTTTATGATATTAGAAACATTTTATAAATAAATTATATATATATATATATATATATATATATATATATATATATATATATATATATATATATATATATATATATATATATATATATATATATATATATATATATATGTGTGTGTGTGTGATATTTAACAGTATTTAAATTAACTGTTTGTAGGATAACTTAACTTTTAATAACTACACAATACAATTTTCTTATGGAGACAAAAAAAACTAAACTTAATAGTTTTAAATAATAAAAAATATATTAATTAAACCCAATATTTAAATTCTATTATTATATAATATATTTATTCACATATCATATCATATAAATTATGCTATAATACAATGTAGAAGGAAGCTTCCTTATGAAAAAGGACAAACAAGTCATTTAATTTAAGGATTATGGTTCTATACTCACATTAAATTCAGATGAACTAAAATCCATCTGGCAACCATCACATATTTTGACTAAATGAGATATTTTATTTCATATCTTAAAATAAAAAAGTCTCAATCTATAAATACACCATCTATACTTCCCCAAATTTCAGTACCAATCTACATCATTCATCACTCTCCACTTTGAAAACACCAACAAAACACACACACTCTTTTCATCAAAGAAACATTTATTACTTCACCAATAAACAACCATTTGTGCATCATGGTTAAGACGGAGATCAACAAGATCAACAAAGAGAAATCAAAACCAATGCAACGAAAAACATCATCAACATCAACATCAACATCAAATGAGATGAAGAGAAAGTACAAAGGAGTTAGAATGAGGAGTTGGGGTTCTTGGGTATCAGAAATTAGAGCACCAAATCAGAAAACAAGAATATGGTTAGGTTCTTATTCAACTGCTGAAGCTGCAGCTAGAGCCTACGATGCTGCACTTTTATGTCTTAAAGGTTCCTCAGCATCAAATCTTAATTTCCCTTTAGAAAATTCTTCACATTTCATTCCTCAAGACAACATTGCTATGTCACCTAAATCAATCCAAAAAGTAGCTGCAGCTGCGGCCGCTGTATCAGTAGCGGCCGCATCCGCTGCTGGTGTGGATAGTAAGAATAATGAAATTGCTATTAGCACCTTCCCCACATCTCCACCTGATCCTGTGTCATCATCTTCATTGGTTTCATCTCCATCAATGTCATGTTCTCCTACTAATCAAATTGATGATGATGTTTCACTTTTTTCATCTTTTGGGGCCTGCACGAATGATCACCAAGCAACAACAAATGAATCAATGGCTATGAATATGAATATGAATATGAATATGATGGATTGTTGGTATGGTTTTGATGGGTTAGAATCTCCAAAACATTTTGATCAAATGCTAAATGGTTCTTTGTTTGATATCGATTCAACTCAAGTGCTTCTTGATGATTATTATGAAGGTGACATTAATTTGTGGAGCTTCTACTAAGAGAAATTCAAGAAAAAAATTTTATTCATAATTCTTTTTTATCTTCCTTCATAAATTCATATTTGCTTTCATATAGTGATAGTTCTTGAAGCTATTATTACTGACGGTGACAAAATTGAGATTATATATATACTCTAGAAGATATTGATTCATAAAGAGAAATGACAATTTTTGGTCTCTCTCTTTTATGAATTTCTACATATGTAAGATTATTATATGTACTATTGAAGCAAAGCTTGTTATTTCTATTTTTATAAAGATTTTTCTTTATGTTATGTAATTTACATATCAAGGTCAGAAAAGAAAAAAAAGCAACAACATATATGGTCATCAGTGTTATAATGAATTTTCTTTTTTAAAATTTTAATTCAAAACTATAAATAATATCAAGCATTTATACAATGTACTTAATTTTGACCATTTATCCGAGATCAAACACGGTACCACCATGTTTTGACCATTCATTCTAGATCAAACATTTTAGTTTATATTTTCACCAAATAATAGTTACACAATTTAACATTTGATTCGAGATTGAACGTCTTATATTACACTTTCACAAAATACAGATATCCATTTTCACCATTGATTTGAGATCAAACATCTTAGATTACACTTCAATCAAATCAAATACAGTTATAGACTATATTTAATTTTAGCCATTGATTTATCAAACATCTTATATAACACTTCCACTAAATTAATATTAAATAATCTTCACTTTCAATTTTAGCCATTGATTTATACTACTATCATTTACTATATGATAAAATAATGTGTATTTTTAGATCTTGTTACTATAGTACTATTTTTTTTTTCTAATATGAGGATCTATGAAACCCTTTACTACATTCAAATGTGTCAGATTGTGGAAACTTGAACCATTGAAAAGTGTGTCTTTTGTTTGGCCCATCTACAAAAGGGTTTCCCTTGTTTCACTGTTTTAAGTTTGGTATTATATGCTCTACTTCCTATGAAACTTAGATAAATAAATTCTCCCTCCTTTCTATTATGTGCAAAAATGAAATTAAGTTTGATTAACTAGCATATGTATTTATTTAAATATAGAAAAAAAATCCCTCTTATGACTTTTGGTGCAAGCAACATTTGCTTTAGTGATTCATTTTAAAGACGCGTTCAAAACACATTATATACAAAAATGCATCATTTATTTATTTATAAAATTAAAAGAACAGAAAAAACTTTAACTCCTTTTGGACTACTTTTGAACATGATCATGTGGGTGAAGTGAACCATAGGTTCAAATCAAAGTTATAACAATAAGCACACACACATGACATGTTTTTTATTTTATATAATGGAATAGGAGAAGTTATGTGCCCCATTCTGAATTGTTCTTTTTACATTGCTTCTAGTCTCAATAAACTGCACTCCACGAGCTATATGCTTCTTCACAACGAAAATTTGCAGAAAAAAATTAAACTTTTGCTTTTTAGTATTCTTGTTCATAGGGCCACATAATCGACCCATTACTTTGACTATACTGTGTTTATGTGCATGTACATTCTTGGGGTCTATTTGGGATTGTGCTTGTTGTACAAATGATTTTATTCAACTATTTCTCAATTTTATGCACATGAAATGATAGAACTAAATGACAATTTAAACATTTTGTTTTGAGACATAGCATGTGAAGTTCGAAATGTGATTCCAATTAGAGATTTCAAATATTGTTTAGTAATATCATGGTGGTTTTGTTTCATGTTAGCAAGAGATTTGATTGCTTAATGCAATTATATCTTTAATTTGGTTCCCTATGCTCATTTTTTATTAGGTGAGAATATATAATATATGTTTCAATTTATGCTAATTAAACGGCCATTATTGGATTTGTTTGTCATTAGTATTTCAATAGTATTTAATTAGTTATGTTTAGGAAAAGACAGTCTACGTATCTTAATTGATTTTTGTCATAATTATAATTTAGTGAAGTTTTGATTAATCAATAAGAATGGTAGATCTCAATCAAAACAAAGCATAATTCGGTTATTTTGCTGTTCTCTGAATGTTTTAATTTACAATTTTAGTCCATAAACTATTCATTATCTGAAACGAAAACCCACCACCACATTGCTTTTGATTTTTTCTATTTAAGTCAACAATAATTTGAAAGTATGTATGAACAATTGACCAGTCGGCAGTTCAATCCATTCTAATCCAAAATGTTTCTTGTGTGGGCGGTGGCCCACTTACCTAGGAGGAACAAACTCGAGATAGTAATAGTGTTTTATTAAGCCCAAAAATACTTTTTATTTTAATATTATTTCCAGTCGTTATTATATCTAAAAAATTGAAAATTGTTTTGATCTTAATTGTATAAAAAAAATTATAATTGTAAAATGTATTTTTTTGTTGTTGTCGTTTTATAAATGTTTTGTTTGGAGGTCAAATCAGGAGTATTTGTTATTTGGGATTATTTTTTAGAGTAATATTTTTTTTTTTTTTGAGATATCTACTATATATATTTAACTAAAATTTTAAGATGATATGTGAGTGTATTTGTACGACTGTTGACTTTTTTTTAATAGAATATTCTTTCAATATAAATAAGTTGTTCACTTCTTTTAAAACTAATGATTTGTGATATTATTTGTTGGTGCAATTCGAGAGGTCAAATGATAAGTATTTTACACTTTAAAAAATTTCTTTTTGAGCAACACATTTTTTTTAATTAAAAGGAGGGCTTAAAGCCCAAGAAAAAAATAGATTATACTGGAGTAACAGAACCCCTCTCATCCGCGTCTAGAATATGAGTATAAATTTCTGGACAATAAGTAAAAAACATAGAAATATCATCTAACGTAAAACTATGCTTTGTTAGAAAATTTGCTAGCTTATTCGCTTTCCAATATGAAATAGTAATCACCATTTTTCATTCCATATTTAAGAGTCTCCAAATCTCCTTAAAGATAAATCTCTCAATAGAATGATTTTTCCTACTCGCAATAACTTTTAACACTTCGTTGAAATTCACTTGAATTTCTACCTTAATAAATTTCATACTCCCAATTAATTTAATACCTTCCCGCACCTTCCACAACTCTGCCCTAATAGCCTCCTCTTTTTTAGCAACACACATTTTAAACAACACACCTTTCACCTTGGAAGTGCATTGAATGGCTGACAATTATAAGTGTGTGTTCGTCAAATCTTTTAAAAAATAACAATATTTTTTTAATTTTACTAGTTTTGATATTTTCTATAATAAAAAGTTGAAAGGAGTATTTGGTAATTTCTCAACCGGTCCTCTATAGTCTCGCGTGCCCTTCAAAATACTGCTAAAAAGTTTATTATATCTTGTGACCCAAGTGGGGGTATTAAAGTGATGGAACATGGCTTTGGCCCAGCTGACTGGACAGGGTCGTACACTACGCTGGCCTTCCCGCTCCAAGTTGAGAGTTGGGCCATGTGGTTAGGGCGAAGGCCCATATCTCCTAGTTCATAGAATGGAGGGAACCGCATGAGGTTAGCTTCACAGAGTAGTGAGCACCAGATTGCAAGGTTGTTTATTGCATTCAAACGACTGTCGATGCTGCTAATTTTGATAGAATATCTCATGCTGAAACGGAGAATGAGGCATGGGATATTCTGGTGAAGTATTACGAAGGAGGTGAGAAAGTCAAGGTTGTCAAATTACAAACCTTACATCGATAATATGAGTTGTTTTCGATGGGAGAATATGAAAAAGTTGCAGAATATGTGTCGAAGGTTCAGAAACTCATCCATCTAATGAAGGGTTGTGGTGAAGCCATTACTGATAAGATGATAGTTGAGAATGTAATGAGAACTTTAACCTCTCACTTTAATCACGTTATCGTAGCTATTCAAGAATCCAACAATCTTGAAACCATTAAAGTGGAAGATTTGGTTGGTTCGTTGGAGGTGCATGAGATGAGGATTATCGAAAGGAAAGAAGTTCAGGACTCGATACAGGCACTGCAAGCTCAGTCATGGAAAAAGGATGATGGTTCCAACAAATTCCAAGGCAAGATCCATAAGACTCATGGCAAGAAGTCTTAGTCGAATCCCCATAAGAAAAACGTCGAAGATAGATCTTCTGAATCCTCGAAAAGGGGAGGAGGAAAATATCGAAAGGACAAAGAAGATAAGAAAGGTATGTAGTATTATAACTGTGAAAAGTGGGGATACTTGGCCAAGAATTGTTGGTATAGAAAATACAAGGTGTTGTACCCCAAAATTTTCCCTCCTTTTTCTCAAGACATTTTCTCACAAGGATTTTCAAAAGGGAAAGTTTGCACAAGTACAATTAGATTTTTGGCTCTCAAGCATCAAATCAAAGAAGAGCAAGTTTGCTTTGGTTCATAAGCTTCGATTGGGTATTTGGTCCCTTTCGATCATGCTTTGATTCATAAAATTCGATTGGGTATTTGGTCCCCTTCGATCATGCTTTGATTCATAAGCTTTGATTGGGTATTTAGTCCCCTTCTATCAAGCTTTGATTCATAAGCTTCGATTGGGTATTTAGCCCCCTTCGATCATGCTTTGATTCATAAGCTTCGATTGGGTATTTGGTCCCCTTCGATCAAGCTTTGGTCCACAAGCTTCATTTGGGCATATGGCCCCTTACAGGTTTGCTTCGATTCACCAGCAGTAGCCTCCTACATACTTGATTTGATTCACAAAGCAGTGGCCTCCTACATATTTGTGTTGATTCACAAAGCAGTGGCCTCCTACATGCAAGCTTCAAATTGAGCATTGGTCTCTTACATGTCTTCTTTGATCCACAAGACAAGTTATTCCCTTTAAACTTGCCTTTGATCCACTAGGCAGAGGCCCCTTCAACTTGCCTTCGATCCACAAGGCAAAAGGCCCCTTCAACTTGCCTTCGATCCACAAGGCAAAGGCCCCTTCAACTTGCCTTCGATTCACAAAGAAATAGATATCTGCATGCAAGCTTCAACTGGGCAATGTCTATCTTCAGGCCTACTCTGACTCCACCTCTAAAAAACCTTCAACAT